GTGTTTGCGTACCCTCTCATGGAGGAGGAACACGGCAGACGACATGCTAGGTAGGCTGGGCTGGCCCATGCAAGAAGGTAAGTGGCTCATGTGGTCTTAGGTTTAGTTGGGTCCACGAGGTTAGGATTTTTTTGTTTTGTATTTACACTAGATAGAATAGGGCAGGGTAGAAATTATTTCGAGGTCCAAATGGACTCCAAAAAATAAAAAAAATGTGGCATTTCTGGATTATTCTAAATGAAATCACCACTAAAATAATCAAAGGGTTTGGATAATGTTTGACAGTGTTTTCGAAAATAAATTTCAAAAAGGGCATTTTGGCAATTTAAAGTAGAGGCAGATGCTAGGGCTGTGCTAAATAATAAAACATTATGTGGAGCCCCAAAATATTATTACTCCCTCCTTCCATCTATATAGGGCCTAATGCATTTTTTGAGGCTAACTTTGACCAAATATTAGAGCAATAATATATGACATGCAACTTACACAAAGCACACAGTTAAATTCGTGTGTGAAAGGAGCTTTCAATGATATAATTTTCACATTGTGCATGTCATGTACTATTAATCTTGTCAATAGTTAAAGGCGGTCTTAAAAAACAAATTAGGCCATATATAGATGGAAGGAGGGAGTAGAAGAGAATGTGTAAAGATTGGACTCCATCTTAATGTCCAAGACCAAAAGGGAAAATGGTTTGATAAAACCATATTCATAACAATTTAAAAAATAGTTTTGGGTGTTCAATATTTTTGTCATGCATTTGAGATTATTGCAATGTGAAATGGTGCATGGTGTCGTGATGATGCAAAAATAAAATATTTCATTTATTTGAGTAGGCCATTACTCAGGGATGTGACATTTATCATCTAAATGTCAATTGGATTTTTTTTCTATTCTAGCCCTAGAATTCATAGCTCCCATCAAAAGTGATACACTTACACAATTTTTGAACATATCATGGCCTAATATATCTTTTACTTAGAATTTGGTCAGCCCTTGTCTTGCGTCAAGGCAGGTCCTCTTGGGCTAACAAGGTCGGATGAACTCTGCTGGAATCTAACACAAGTCGGGGATTGTACAGTAGATTCTATGTGCCATGCGCTTACACACTCCAAGGTTCTGCTAGATAGGGGGAAATATTTGAAAGTCGAATGTACCTCTAGAAATCAAAAAAATTCTTGATGTACCTTCACAAAGCTCTGACCGCCACAAAATTTTCTATGTAAAGTATGATGCTCAAAATATGTACCTATTCTAAACTAGTCGAAAGAAATGTGATAATGGGCTTGACTAAATCAAATTGTGCCAAAATCTGTGACGATTTATGTGAAAAAAGTAGTGTCACGTAGGAAGGCACGTCACTTCAATTGCTCAGATCTAAAATGCTACTTGACATTAGTCCATGACAGTTTGCTCTGTCATATAAAGGCTTGGACCTAGTTTGGGTTGTGTGTGCCTGGGGCAGACCCGTGACAGTCAAGGACCGTCATGGAAGGTGTGCTCTCAAATTATGATACATAATGGATTTGAAATCCGTCATGACCGATCATGCTTGACAGTTTTTCACTACTTGGTGACAGAATAGAACTGTCATGGATTAACAGATTTCTTGTAGTGAAAGGACAACCCTACAAGCTGCAATTAGCAGAAAGTAGAAAGTGGTACTTTTGTCACTATGATCACACAATTAAACATCTTTTTTCCAATGTGAATCTGTGCTTGCAGCATGGTCATTGGTCATCGAGGTTTGCATCCAACTTGTATCTCCAATATTGCCAACATGTTTGGCCACTAGCTAGATGAGGTTCCGCACAAGTTTTGCGGGCTTTATTAGGGTGGCAGCACCAACCTTGATTTAGTCGCTATGTCTATATCGACATAATTTGATTTTAATGGTAAAAACCCATCTCCTCCACAACCTATCTACAAGTGTAGGCTCCATCTTCATTTGTGGTCTTCTCTACAACTATTGGAGTACCAATCACTGTTTTACATCGGTGTGTGTGCGTGAATGGGGCATGTGTGATTCATAGCTCTTATATTTCTAAGGTTAACATGGGAATTCTCTAAGAGGTTTTCCCTTGAAGGAAAAACATTGAATGAAATCACTCGTGTTTTAACCCCACATGAGTGGCAACATAGTTTTCGAATAGCCCCCTACCCACTTCCCACCCCTATGCCTTAGGCTTAGTTTCTATATGCTATGACTTTGATTTTTTTTCTTCTCCCAGCCTCACTTTCTTCGTCCTTCCTGTCTCCTCTGCTCCTCCCATTTCCACCTCCTTGGCCCCTCAATCTTCCAGATCTAGCGGCCTCATCGTCTGGGGATGTGAGAGAGGGGGTGGTCGCCTCGTCATTTTTCTCTAGTAGTAGTTGTAATCCTTGAGACCCTATTGGCTGTAGGGCTTTTACCTGTGTCCAATAAACTAGACCAATCCCCATTGTTCTTCTTCGTTGCGCATCGTTCTTGCCATGGTGGCTGGGATGGAGGCTATGATTGGACTTCGGAGCAGATCTGAGGCCCTGTGTTGGGCTTTTGTCGGTGTTGTCTCATTTCCTCGGCTAGGTTCCTGTCCTCTCTGCGAGTCTACCATCATGATAGTGGATGCGTCTTCAGAGATGGTAGGCTGTTGGTCAACAAATTTGGGGTTTCTTTCTTAGTCTTTTTTTTAAGTTCCCCATAGTACTCTCTCCGTTCTAAATTACTCGTCGCAAAAATGAATGTATCTAGAACTAAAATACATGTAGATACATCCATATCTGCGATAAGTAATTCGGAACGGAGGGAGTACTACCCTCGTAATGGCTGGTCGCCGGTTGTTGTTGGTCTAAATCCTCTCATCTGGCGTTAGTTTACTGTGCTTTATTTGCTCTCCTGGAGATTCAAGTGGGTTGACTTGGGGTCATGTTAAGACCTCTAATCATTTTATTTCATGGCGATGAATCAAATGGTATATGTT